TGTCGTTTATATTAAATATTTACTCGCTAAAATAGGGTCGGAACATTTCTCTTAAAATCTAAGTCGATAGTGGTCTGTAATATCCAAATAAATCTCTTAACATCCAATAATCACATGTGATTAGGCCTAAGATTTATTTTATTTATTTATTAGGATAAATTACATTCACTTCCCTCATCTTTTATAATATTTCACTACATTCACTTTTAATTTATATATTCACTTCATACACATCTCTGTCGTCAACACGTTATTGATACACTAAAAAGTGACGATATCATAATACATTATTTTTAGAACACCAGTTTTACCCTCTCTTCCTCCTCCCCACCTAGCCATCTCTCTTTTTATTCCACCTCTTTATCTCCATCTCTCTTTTTATTCATCAATTTATAATTTAATTATCATCAAACTAATATCAAATTGACTTTCTATTTCATCAATTTAAAATTATATTTTATCAAATTGACACCAAATTAATCGTTAATTTAACCGTTGTTATTTGACGATCAATTTATTTGATTTGCCTTGCTTACCAGTTCTTGGTGCCCATAAGTCATAGCCATAGTTCTGTGTTTGAAGAGTGAGGTGGAGAGAGAAAAAGTGGCGAAGGCCTATAAGTACTTATTAAAGTTATTTTAATAATTATATTAATTATCAAAATAANTACTGTTATAAATAAATATTGTGTGTAACAGTGGTCTTGTCACATGGTGTCACCATCCTATTATAAACTTACAAGTGGACAAGGTGAATGTCACTTGATTGTTATCAAATGGCATGAAATGATAGTTACCAAAGTATGCGAGATTCATTTACTGAATTATTATGTTCTTATTGAATAATGACACAGGCGGCGATAATGTGGTGATGCTAATACTACACCTAATATTTTCTCCTGCATTGCAATAAATATTTTCTCGGTCCTGTGGTCTTGGTTCGTTGCCTTGTAATCAAGAAAGCATCTCCTTTCCCTTAATCCTTATCTTCTTCCCTTTAATACACGCAAACAAAATAGACGCTTAGGCGACAATTATAAGCCGTAAACCACACGATTACTATAGCTTATATCAAAGGGTCCCACATAATTCCCGAGTTACACATGGGAAAAATATTTAATGTGACGTTAATTTCATGTCGTCATTAATAAGTGATAGTAAACTTTATTATTTTAATAATTACTTATAATCCACAACATTTAATCACTTAAATATTAAATAGTTAGGTTCATTTATTTTATTTAGAGTAGTGTTATGTATCTTAAATTTATAATCCAAATTTGTATCTCAAATCAAGGAGGACCATTGAATCAGTGGGTCCTATCAACTTTTTTAAATGGAATCCACTGATCCTGCTTAATTGGAATACAAATTTAGGTTACGAATTTGAGATACATATCATTACTCTTTTATTTATTATTGATTATTGACCAGTGATATCTCATATTAATAATAACGTAATATTGTCGTTTATATTAAATATTTACTCGCTAAAATAGGGTCGGAACATTTCTCTTAAAATCTAAGTCGATAGTGGTCTGTAATATCCAAATAAATCTCTTAACATCCAATAATCACATGTGATTAGGCCTAAGATTTATTTTATTTATTTATTAGGATAAATTACATTCACTTCCCTCATCTTTTATAATATTTCACTACATTCACTTTTAATTTATATATTCACTTCATACACATCTCTGTCGTCAACACGTTATTGATACACTAAAAAGTGACGATATCATAATACATTATTTTTAGAACACCAGTTTTACCCTCTCTTCCTCCTCCCCACCTAGCCATCTCTCTTTTTATTCCACCTCTTTATCTCCATCTCTCTTTTTATTCATCAATTTATAATTTAATTATCATCAAACTAATATCAAATTGACTTTCTATTTCATCAATTTAAAATTATATTTTATCAAATTGACACCAAATTAATCGTTAATTTAACCGTTGTTATTTGACGATCAATTTATTTGATTTGCCTTGCTTACCAGTTCTTGGTGCCCATAAGTCATAGCCATAGTTCTGTGTTTGAAGAGTGAGGTGGAGAGAGAAAAAGTGGCGAAGGCCTATAAGTACTTATTAAAGTTATTTTAATAATTATATTAATTATCAAAATAAAATGACAATTGTTTAGGGGATAATTGACAAGGGATACACCTATAAGTACTTATTTGTCTAAATGTAAATATCTCAAACTTTTAAGTCATTAAGTCCTCATATTCTTAAATATTTTATGATTAGGTACATATTTACAATTTTTCATATTTTTTATGACATAATTGTCATTACCCTAATTTATGCCAATTAAATTTGACAATTTTTTTTTTGAATCTGCTTTAAAAGATTATAGTTTCCTAAATTTATGGATTAGAATCTTGTGTGAATTTTGAATTATATTCGCATTATCTTTGCTATTAAATAATTTTTTTTTTTGTTCTCAGTCATCAACGTTTTTTTTTCTTCTCTAACAAGTATCCGAATTATTTCCCTTGGTCAATGATTATTGGTGGTCATTCTTGACTGTAATCATAAACCCTTTTTTTTTTTTCTTAATCTTTTTCATAAAGTTTTTCAAATTTCTTGATGAATTTTCTTGATTAGAATCCCATTTTTTGACATTAATCATAAACTTTTTCCTCTGATGAATTTCATATTCATTGAAATTTATCTTCTTCGAATTTCTNCTTGATTAGAATCCCATTTTTTGACATTAATCATAAACTTTTTCCTCTGATGAATTTCATATTCATTGAAATTTATCTTCTTCGAATTTCTCAAAACTACCAACTGAAATTTATATTTTCTAAAAACCAGCCACTGAAATATGATTGCATTAACTAAATTTTACGTTTGAATATCTCAAATGGATGAGCATAATAACAGGAATGAAGTTTTGATTTTATTTATTTTTATTAATAGACTTAGTTATTTTCTTAGTATTTTGATTTAATAAAGTTTTGTTTATAAAGTTTTCTAATGTGGAACAATAAAGTTTTGTTTTTTTCATTTTACGTTTGAATTTCTTGGTAATTTTTCAATAATTTTTTTCTGTAACAATGTTATAATCTTATATTAATTGGACATTAATTTTTTTTTTGTTCATCTTTATTAAAACTAAGGGAACATGTCACACTAAGCCATCACACTATGATGCCACTCTATTAAAATCAAGGGAACGCTTGTGTTTAATTGTTATGTTTAAGTCTTATGTCAAATATGTCACATTATAATGTCACTTTATTAAAACTAGGTGAATGTGTGTGTTTAATTGTAGTGTTAAAATCTTATGTGAAGGATGTCACACCGAGTCATTACACTAAACTTAAGGGAATGTGTGTGCTTAATTGTAGTGTCCAAACCTTATGTCAAGGATGTCACGCTAGATAATCACAATATGATGTCATTTTATTGTTCCACGTTGGGTCGTCACACTATGATGCCCCTTCTTCAGTTCGTTTGAATCTTTTTTTTACAACTTGGAAAACATGTTTCTTCAAATTCTCCCNATATGATGTCATTTTATTGTTCCACGTTGGGTCGTCACACTATGATGCCCCTTCTTTTGTTCGTTTGAATCTTTTTTTTACAACTTGGAAAACATGTTTCTTCAAATTCTCCCCCCCCCTTTTTTGTGTTTGAACACCAAAATTATTGGGTAAATAAAATTTTGTGGAGGATTTTTTAGAGTCAATTTTTTTATTCCTTTAATTTTGTAATTTCATTCACTGTTTAATGGAGAAATGGTGGCAAATGAAGACATGAATAAAAGTAATGAGATCATGGGTTTCTTAATTTGGTTAGACATCTGGAGTATTGTTTCAAAGGATAGTGTAGCTTTTTTTTTTATTAGTGAACTTCTTTTCAGAACAATTTCCTTCATAGACTTAAATAATAATAATAATAAGTCNAGTGAACTTCTTTTCAGAACAATTTCCTTCATAGACTTAAATAATAATAATAATAATAAGCCTAATTAAGTGTATCGGCCTTCCAAGGACCCATTGTTTAGGTAAGTAGTAAATTATAACATTAAATTGGACTTCACTTAAATTTAAATGTAAATTTGGATTAGTTAATACAATCAATTAAGATCAAAGTGAAAATTGAAATAAATTTAACACAATCATGAGTATAAATTTGTAAATGTTATGTTCTATTCGTAAATTTACAAATTTTATAAGGGCATGAAAATAAAAGCGTCACTTCTATTGCTGTCATCAAGTACAAACATTAATAAAGGATATTAGCGAAATTTACATTATTTTTTATTTAATCATAACACTAGGTAATAATAATAATATAACTGTAACCATGTCATCACGTCATTAATACTATACAGTGTGACTAACTACTAATAAAATATTAAATATGATTGATAAATTCCACTCTTATTCTAACACGATGGATATAATTATTAATAATTAATAAAATAATAAATTTCACTAAATTTACTTAATATCCTATTACTGGTGACTGCTAACACCACATAATGATTGTCGTCGTATTACCATTACATGTTAATATTTTTTCCTAAGTTTGGAGTTGTAACCGAGTTTCCTGGAGTCACCTCGTGAGTCGTGAACTGCCAAAACTAGTAATACAAATACAAAAAAACAGTCTACGCAATCACTCATCCAACAGACGGTGCCCACACGCATCACTATCATTATCATCGTCATCGTCATAGTCACACACAAGTGTGTGTCATTTTTTGTACAGTACATTATCTGCGTGCCTTCTTTTACGGGCCATGTCCCTTTGTATTCTTTTAAGCAACCAAAGCTAAAGCTGATTGGCATAAAACGCACAGATACGAACAGATTCTCTCTTTCCCACCTTTTAACCCCAATAGTTACCAATCAGACCTTCCTGTATCAAGTTTGAATCATGGACTCTCTCTCTCTCTCTCTTTCTTCAACCCTCTCAAACCTCGTCAATATAAGCTCTGCACAGAAGTTATAGATCCAGAGAGACAAGGGTGGTGTGTGGATGATGGATAAAAGCTGTAATTTGTCTGGTGACTCTACTACTAATACATGTTCAAGTAGTAGCAGTGGTGTTAATAACAGAGATCGATGCCTCAAACACGTCAATAAAATCTCTCTGAAGATCTCTAAACCCTCACATGGCGTCAGGAAGTCAACTTTTGATGAGCATCATCAACCATCCGAACCCCAACGAGAAGATCAAGATCAAACGCAAACGCAATCACAGCCGCAGCATATGCAACAACAGCAGCAGCAGCAGAATCAGCCCCCGGTGTATAATATCAACAAGAGCGACTTCCGCGACGTCGTTCAGAAGCTCACTGGCTCGCCAGCGCACGAGCGGTTCTCTACTCCTCCGCCGATACAGCCACCGAAACCCCCTAGCTCTCGCCTTCAGCGGATCCGCCCTCCACCCCTCGCGCAATTTAGCAACCGCCCCCCTCCCATGCTAATCTCCGCCGCCCTACCACCAAACCCTAACAATCCCACCTACGCCGCCACCAATGTTAACTTCACCTCCAGTCAGCGCCCAATACAGCCTCTGTCTCCTCTACCGCCGTTCCCGTCGGTGCATGCGGCGGCGGAATCGCCGATCTCCGCCTACATGCGGTTCCTTCAGAGCTCAATCTCCGCCGTCGATTCGGATCCAAAGCGGTACTCGGGACTCTTGCCTTTAGCTCCACTAGCTTCGCCTCGATGGAACAATCTTGCTCAAACTCAACCGCCTCAGTATCGGCAGCAGAACATTCCTCCATCGATCACTTCTGCTCCTATGGCTTTACCGCAGTTTCCAATGCCGCCATCTTCCCCGCTTCCATTCGGTTGCTTGCCGTCGCCACGGTCGCCTTACCCTTTACTGTTTTCGCCGACGGGGCAATTTGGATTTCAGCAACTGCCTCTGTCGCCGACACTGCCGGTAACGAGCCCTACGTGGAAAGGTCTTTAAGGTTCTTCATGAATTACACACCACTGTTACAAAGGTAAGTCTTTTGGAGGTTTTTGTTATTATTAAGTATTTTATAGACTTTGAAGATTATAGATATGCATAGCTGTACATGTACATGCTGTGAACTAGATTCAATGACCAGGGTTTGTAGGAATAGAAACTCTATCTAGGATTGTTTGTTTTGTACATCAATCAATTGTTCAAAAGACATGTGAAATTGAAACTCTAGAATTGTTCTGTTCTTTCTCTGTTTTGAGTATGGTGGTTAAGATTGTAATTCTTAAAAAATTTGGCTATGAACTTTCATGGTGTTTAGTACTACATTTTTTTTGGGGAGCTGATTAGCAGCACATAAGTGAATATAATTTATGAATCTGGATGATGAATTTGTCATGTGCTCATGAGGTCATGAATTTAGTAGTTTTAATAATGCTGGTTGGGGTTTAAACTTGTATCGGTAAAAGTTGTAAAGTTAACCCAAGGCAATGGCTCAAGTGATAACATGGTCAGACCTATTTACTGTAGAGAAAGCCTGGCAAAGTTTGTGACTGAATGGTTGTTGGCCATGTTATGCCTGTGACGGGGGTTTGAAGGATATGCAACCTCCAGCTACAGCAGAGTTGAATCTATGAAATCTTCTCTGCTTATTATTTAATCACAGGATTAGGAGATAGCATTCAGGAATCAGGAATTGATTTCTGTTTTGTGGTTTTGGATATCAATTTGTTTCTTTCAAATATGTTTGATTGTTCTGAAAGTAAATGTGAAGCTTCACTTCTACATCAAGAAATAGCTTTGATGTCATGAGTTTAGCGGTTAAGGGTGAAATTTTGATTAGTGGTTATGCACCTCTCACTACCCTCCCCCGATGAAATGTTATTTTCTATAAGCACACTCGACAAGGTACAGGATTTTAAGAAAGGAAGTGAGATCTTGGTTCCGTAGGTTAATGACAATTTTTTTTTTATTTTTTTGTTCAGTTGTATCTGCACCGAATAAGATTTTCCTTTTTGAAATTCACAAAAGAATTAGGAGAAGAAACCAACAGGCAAAGGCGTGTTAGGTCTTATTGTTGTCTTTTTTTTTTTCCAGTTAAACACCGCATCATCAAGAAGCTCCCTTCGTAAAGAAAGCATCTTCAAGCTGAGAGATCGATATAGAGAGAGATGAGGGAATTAAACATCATATGTCGAGAACTAGCTATACTGAAAAATAACTNTTTTTTTCCAGTTAAACACCGCATCATCAAGAAGCTCCCTTCGTAAAGAAAGCATCTTCAAGCTGAGAGATCGATATAGAGAGAGATGAGGGAATTAAACATCATATGTCGAGAACTACTTGCTATACTGAAAAATAACTTCACACCGCTTTGGCTTGGGGACATTATAATCTCTCTCTCTCAGAGATCTCCCTGAACATGAATGACTATAGGAAAGAAGAGGTCCAGTCCAAACGCAAGAATATATCAAACTATCAATGATGCTCCCCCATAGAACCAAATTTTTTTTTTTTTTGGGGCGTAACTCGCTCCCCTGGGACGTTGTGGATCGAGATATTATGAGTGCCAAGCTCCCGTAATATGATTAATCTGAACAGCTTCCACACTTCAAAGCAATTAATAAAAATGTCTTCATGGAACAAAAAGAAATATGTACACAGAGTCTTTAGCCNCTATCAATGATGCTCCCCCATAGAACCAAATTTTTTTTTTTTTTGGGGCGTAACTCACTCCCCTGGGACGTTGTGGATCGAGATATTATGAGTGCCAAGCTCCCGTAATATGATTAATCAGAACAGCTTCCACACTTCAAAGCCATTAATAAAAATGTCTTCATGGAACAAAAAGAAATATGTACACAAAGTCTTGAGGCAGCATAGAACACTGAAACTAACCATCACAAAAAAATNATTAATAAAAATGTCTTCATGGAACAAAAAGAAATATGTACACAGAGTCTTTAGCCAGCATAGAACACTGAAACTAACCATCACAAAAAAATTATGTGAGTACGAGGTTAACCATCTTATGCAAAATAAAGCCAACGCATTCTGACAAGTACAAACACGCTTCCCTCATCACTCTACGGTTACATAAAATATCAGACTAATTGAAGAGATTTTAGTTTAAATATACCCAGCGCAGACAAATATTTAACGAGAATTACTCCAGATCCACATTAAATTGCTAGTTCAATGACATAACATCAATATTGTAACCCATTCACTAAAGAAGACAATACCTTGAAAAACCAGAATGGCAAGGAAATTAAAACAAGGATCTTCTCCTAATAAAAACAACCACAGGAGAATTGACATCCTAAACAGAGGGCAACTGCCCTCAATGTTCGTCATCGGGCTTGGGAGCTTCCTTAATTTCGTCTGCCCCGTCATCCTGTATCAAACACCAGATATTGTTTCAACACAGTTAAAAATGTTAAAAGTAGTTTTAGTTAACAAAGCATTACATGAAAATTGACTAGTTACCATGCACATTAAAGTTGAAAAAAGGACACAAAGGAGGGCAAGATATTCCATTGCAGTGTAAGAAAAATAATGAAGCCAACATGAAAAAAACAAGAAGTTGCATCGAATTCAATACCTGCATGTCAGAGGTCCACAGGGTGAGGTTGTCACGAAGAAGTTGCATTATCAGAGTGCTATCCTTGTAAGACTCCTCGCCCAAGGTATCCAACTCTGCAATTGCTTCATCAAAAGCCTGGCAAACGCACAGAAGAATATACATTAAGCAGATCCAGATCACAGCCAAATCCTAACAGCAACTGTCCATAAAAGTGAAAATGCTAACATCCAAATGGGTACATCATTTCCCATTACTTAAATTTCAATAGCATGACTTGGGATTTTACTGTATTTTAGATATATAAACAAACAATAAACCTCATTAAATTTTGCTAAATTCCAGCTTTATGTCACCACATTCTCTTAGATTTTTTCCCCAGGAAGAAAGTATTCACATTCAGAAACTCTCACCTGTTTTGCAAGATTACAAGCACGGTCAGGAGAGTTCAAAATTTCATAGTAAAACACAGAGAAGTTGAGGGCCAGTCCAAGCCGGATTGGGTGTGTGGGGGCAAGTTCCGTATTTGCGATATCCTGCAAAGACAAAATAGCAATGATCATAGAAGGCCAAGTACAGGGACATGAACTTTCTAGCATAATATAAAATGGATGAATGGAAATTTGTCTTACGCATAGATGGTACCACACAAATATAGTGTTATTCCATTATAATCTTCACATTAGATTGGAAAACATAAATAGACAGACATTTATCACACACCAATACTCAATTCAATGGATGGGTGGAGGGGTTTCGTTGGCTGTATTGATTTCGACCTCAATAATATCTTTAAACTTCCCCATTAAATCATACAACAGTCAGACGTTATCTCTTTGTGCATTCTTCATCATCAGGCATAATGTCTTACCTCAGAACAAGGGTAAATTCTTATGTTCTCTCTCCAAGTAGCTTTGAGCAGAATTATTTGCCGCCAAACAATAGTTTGCCATCTCCTTAATTCGTGTACCCCTACTCCTGAATTTTCTCAGACCTATATAAATTCAAGAAGGCTTCTTACGGCCAATCGCATTGGACCCATATGTCATAGCAAAATATTTAACTACACAACAAGTATGATTTTCTTAAAAAATCATTCCATAACGAAATGTTTCCTCATTTCTAAGGCAGAACGGATGCCCATAACAGTAGATCTTGACCAGTAGTCAAGGTTAAGCTAGAAAATTAATCTTCTTTCTCCTATGAGATTTTAGAAGAATTTTAACTCAGTTTTCCCCTCAAAACTACCAGACCCTCGTTGCTCCGATAACATCAATTCTCAGTCTTGTTTGGTTGCTGTGGAAAACAAGGAAATACATGATGCGCAAGGAAAGTTTCCCTCGTTTCTTCGTGCTTTCAAATCAAATTTAAGAAATACTGAGTTTCTAATTTAAATTCAATTAGTATAAAATACACCGGAGTTCGAGTTTTCTTTGATTCTGCCTTTTCAATTTCCTTTCCGCCAGTAAATCCCCGATCCAAACAGAGTGTATACAGAAAATTCCACGTAAAGAAACGTTAAACAGATGCAGACACAGCGCAGAACAAAAACATTCGTATAGTACACAGGAAATCCAAACATAAGCCCTGACCCTAACAAATCAACATCCGATAACAACATATAAGTCAACACGATACATGGATGCAGTGTCAATGAGGATCAAATTCAAACCTGAGCAGTTTTGTAGGCAGTGAGAGTACTCTCCGCAGCCTCTTTCCTCTCAGCACCAGCCTTAAACTCCGCCAAATACCTATGATAATCCCCCTTCATCTTCAGATAAAACACCTTGGAATCCCCAGGCGAAGCCGAAGTAATCAGCCTCGACTCAAGCAACTTTAGAATCCCATCGCAGATCGATGAGAGCTCCGATTCGATTTTAGATCTGTATTCTCTGATCACGTTCACGTGGTCTTCGTTTCCGCGAGACTCCTCCTTCTGCTCGATCGACGATATTATGCGCCAGCTGGCTCGTCGAGCACCGATTACGTTCTTGTAGGCCACCGAGAGGAGATTCCGTTCCTCTACCGTGAGTTCTTCGGAAATGGACAGTGAGCCCGACACTTTTTCCATGAATTCCACCATTTCCTCGTAGCGTTCGGCTTGCTCCGCCAGTTTTGCCATGTACACGTTTTCTTCACGTGCCGAAGGTGTCACCACCATGGTTGATCTGAATGTATTAGAGAGAGAGAGTTAGAGAGAGAGAGTTTTGGAGGTTGGGATACTGCTTTTGAGTTTTTAGAGAGAGAGTGAAAAGATGTACTACTTTTGGAAGGCGGAGATGTATAGGAGGAGAGAGAGAGGGCTCGCGTTGGCAGGAGGGGTTGATTTGAGGAGGATGAATGTGGAACGTTGACTAATTTGATAGATGAACAAAGACCGTAGATTTGGTGGTTGGGGGAGTTGGTCAGTTGGTGTGAGACTGACGGGATTGGAGCTGGCGACTCTAATGGGCAATAAAGTTAAAAGCTCAAACTGGCCCATTATATGTACTGGGCTCAATCTGCCAATGTTAGTGGTGTAAATTGGGCTGTGTGTTCTATTTATTATTGTTCTGAATTTAGGTTTTAGGTACTAATTACCATTCTAGTTTTTACTACATGTTACTCTGGTTACAAATTTTTAATTTTTCCATTACATTCTTATTATTAACTACTCATCCTCTTTTTTTTGTATACAACGATATATTCAATCGATTCAAATGCATTATCTCTCAAACAAAGCTAACTCGATTTGATGTTCTTGCATTTTGTTGCTAGTGGTGGCCCCAACCATGCACATACAAAGCTCACATAAACTTTCAAGGGAAATTTGAAGAGTTTTTTGTATGTGTGGAAAAACTACGCACATTTAATTCTCTCCAAACTTAAAAGATTCTCGTGCATGGACTGTGCTATGTTTTTTTTTGGGAGTTTTGGGATCAAACTCAGTTGACCTGTCAATAGTTGTCAGTCTACATTATCAGCTCATATATTNATTTAAGAAATACTGAGTTTCTAATTTAAATTCAATTAGTATAAAATACACCGGAGTTCGAGTTTTCTTTGATTCTGCCTTTTCAATTTCCTTTCCGCCAGTAAATCCCCGATCCAAACAGAGTGTATACAGAAAATTCCACGTAAAGAAACGTTAAACAGATGCAGACACAGCGCAGAACAAAAACATTCGTATAGTACACAGGAAATCCAAACATAAGCCCTGACCCTAACAAATCAACATCCGATAACAACATATAAGTCAACACGATACATGGATGCAGTGTCAATGAGGATCAAATTCAAACCTGAGCAGTTTTGTAGGCAGTGAGAGTACTCTCCGCAGCCTCTTTCCTCTCAGCACCAGCCTTAAACTCCGCCAAATACCTATGATAATCCCCCTTCATCTTCAGATAAAACACCTTGGAATCCCCAGGCGAAGCCGAAGTAATCAGCCTCGACTCAAGCAACTTTAGAATCCCATCGCAGATCGATGAGAGCTCCGATTCGATTTTAGATCTGTATTCTCTGATCACGTTCACGTGGTCTTCGTTTCCGCGAGACTCCTCCTTCTGCTCGATCGACGATATTATGCGCCAGCTGGCTCGTCGAGCACCGATTACGTTCTTGTAGGCCACCGAGAGGAGATTCCGTTCCTCTACCGTGAGTTCTTCGGAAATGGACAGTGAGCCCGACACTTTTTCCATGAATTCCACCATTTCCTCGTAGCGTTCGGCTTGCTCCGCCAGTTTTGCCATGTACACGTTTTCTTCACGTGCCGAAGGTGTCACCACCATGGTTGATCTGAATGTATTAGAGAGAGAGAGTTTTGGAGGTTGGGATACTGCTTTTGAGTTTTTAGAGAGAGAGTGAAAAGATGTACTACTTTTGGAAGGCGGAGATGTATAGGAGGAGAGAGAGAGGGCTCGCGTTGGCAGGAGGGGTTGATTTGAGGAGGATGAATGTGGAACGTTGACTAATTTGATAGATGANGAGACTGCACAAATCATGATTTTTTTTTTTTTGGAAACAGATTATGGAAATGAGTGGTCTGTAAACCACAACTCATGGAATCAACGTGGAAACGAATCCAAATTGTGATACAATTTACCTAGGAAAAACANGAACAAAGACCGTAGATTTGGTGGTTGGGGGAGTTGGTCAGTTGGTGTGAGACTGATGGGATTGGAGCTGGCGACTCTAATGGGCAATAAAGTTAAAAGCTCAAACAGGCCCATTATATGCACTGGGCTCAATCTGCCAATGTTAGTGGTGTAANAACTTAGTGCAGAATAAAAACCAGAAACAATTGGAAATTGACATCATTGCATAGCTAAACAGGTCGGTGAATGTCAAAGCCAAAATTTTTTACTGGAATTCATTTTAACATAACCTGACCGAGAAACACTTGGTGTATTTTTAGTACAAATATATCAATTTTAAGGTTGATGATTGTAGAACATCATGGCTTATGTTGCCTCAAACATGCTAGCAGATGTGGGATTCATAGGTTAGATAATAGGAGAATCCTATGAAAAAGATAGGATTGGTTGAAGTAATTTATGACGTGGAGTAAATTGATGAAAATGAATCATTCCAATAATGGAATGATCATAATACAAATATCATAAATCGAAATGTAAAGCGTGCTATAGCTTTCGACCTTATTGGATGTCCTAGGAAAAAACATGAGAAAAAATACAATTGATGAAGTCACAGTCACACATAAGAAATTGTAAGACAGAAAAAGGGAAAGTTTTTTGGAAAATAAATGACTGGTTCCGTGATTTTATTGCATTTTTCTACCTTCATGATTCTTTTCAAGAAAAGGAGCACAAGTGGTCGGCTTGTGGAGTAAGGCAGTAGTAAAATAACGAACTTAAAATGTTTCGGCTACCTGAAAATCCTTGTTGATGATCATTGGAACAGTGCAAAACAGAGTGGAAGACAATGCTATAAGGAACTGAACTTGCATGACCAGATCAAATGTACCATGAACTCTGGCATTCAAGTGGATATATTCCACTGCTGGCATATGAAACCATATAGAGCTGCAGCAGCAAGGGTCGCGAAGAACCCAAGTAAATATTTCCCGTCTGATTCTCCCCTAGGAAGATCTCCATTCTTGTGCAGTCCCAGTATAACTGATCCAAAGGTCATCAAAACAACAGCATTTATCGAGTAATGTGTGAACTTATGCTTGACTATGACAAAGGCAAACAGTGCGGTCAAAGCAAGTTGGGTTGTACAAAGAAGAGAATAAACTGAAAGGGGAAGGTAAGAGATGCCAAAGGTGAAGAGATAACTATCAAAACCAACAAGAAATCTGAGGCACAAGCTACAACAAGCCTTGGTGTGACCAATAGTCTGGTGGACTGGGCATTGGATCGAGTTTGTGTATAAGAAATGGCAATTGGGAAGATCAAAAATGGGAAAGCAGCAGTGAGTAACCAAGCAGTGAGCCATTTCCTCTTTCCACCATGCAAGAAGTAGAGCCTAACGAACAACGGGCCACCAATTTGGCCAATTGTCATCAATCTGCAGTTTAGGAGAACAAGCAAAGCCTTAACAGGCATCCTGGTTTGAGGCTGCCTTGGCTCATTGTGTCCTCCAAGAATTGCCTCCATGTCGATCCTTATGGCTGAGTGAGTGACAATAGGAAGGAGTGCCTGTTTCTCTATGTAATGTTTTGTAGGCAATGCAGAAACTGTGAATCAATCACAAATAAGAGGACAGCTTGATGCTCAATCCACTAAGAAAAAAGAAAGAGAAAGATTGAATTTAGTATAATGCCACTACCTGGCTCTTATTGGTGAAGTTCAATCTCCTTTCTGTTTTGTTGGACTCTTATGATAATGATTGACCTGCCCTGACTAGGAAACAACTTGGTCCTTCAATAATCTTATAAATGACCAATTTATGTTCATGAGGTACAACAAAAGAGCAGGGGATTGATTTAAGCTGATCACTGAACTCACTTGATGGCACCGACCAACCCGATTTCTGCTTCAGCAGGGAGGAATGGAAGTGAAATAGATTGACTGTGATAATGATGGATTTAAGTTTGGGCTCCCTCTAGGGCCCAAAATTTTCTGGGCTCACAGAAGACGACCCAAAGCATCTCATCTAGACAATATTCATTGGGCTCGAACTGGACCACGACCCAATTCCATAGAGGCCCAATGCAAACGAGCTCGGAATAGGTGCTAGCTAACGAGACCAGTATAAGTACTAGCTTAGGGAATGGGAGCACGGCACCAGACCAGTTTGCTAGAGCTACAACATGACACGTAGACAGTAAACAAGAGGACATTACTTGACAATTTTGATAAACAAAAATCCAGTTGTAGTGGAGATGGCTCACATACTGCATCCGGTGAGTAGTGGGTGCAAAAAGGTGTCTGGGACCACAATTTTAGTAACAAGACAAACATAGAAAGGACTACAGAATCAGTAAAAAAGGATCAACATGAAAACCCTAATGGCTAGATGTTTAAATAGCTAATGATACTTCATAGAGAGTCATTCAGAAAACTGGTCAGCAATAACTTAGGCAATATTCTGTAAAAGGCTTCAAGCCAAACTCCTTGTAACCCAGTATTCTTTCCCAAGCAATACAATTCTCAATGAGCAAGAGCCTCTCCCTTATAGTAGATTTAACCTTAGTTTTTCGACTAAGGCAAATCACTCGTATTGTTGTTTTCATTTTGCATCATACACATATAGGCATATACTCCTGTATACACACACATTCACTGGCCATACCCCAAGTTGTTTTGTAGTCTAGTCCAGTCTATTTCAAGCACCATTAAACTGGAAAAAAAATTATCTAAAAGATCAAAGGGATGGAACACAATCAGTTTGTCTCGGAAATGGAGGTTTTGAACTGAATTACTACATTTCTCCTAGATTCCCAATGAGCAAATGGGCTTCAGCATGGGGAGAACTAGCTAGCTGCACTTCTATTTATCTATCTATATATATGATTCAAGCATGTTCTAATCAATGCTAGGAGGCATGTTCTTTTGCATATTTAGACTTTTCTTTCCTTTTTTTTAGCAAAAGAAATGGGAAATTTGAGAAATTTTTTATATCCGTAGCTAATGAGCTTTTTCTTTGCCTTCTGGATTGCATCCCCATAAGAGATGTTTAGGGAATCAAGCTTTGTAGTGGTGAGGAGATTGTGTTAGGGGTTGCAATTTGGGAGGGATAACTCGAACCTAACATGAGCCCACTCCGAAAAATATGAGATTTGGTTTAAAGTTTTTAAATTTTGGATTGGGTTTAGGCTGAAAATTTTTAACCCGAATTGAATTCTGATTATACTCGAGTTCAAGTTTTAGATTTTTCAATCCAAACTTAATTTGAATTATTAAAATCGACCTCTATCCAAATTCACAATTTTAGTTCAATCTGAAATTAAAATAAATTTATATACATAAAATTTAAGTGTAATTTAGATTTTTATTGAATTTAATTTGGTCAAGCTATTGTGTCATGCCTGAATTTGAGCTTGAAATTAAACCCAAATTTCAAGCCTAATTTTAGTTTGAATTAGTCCGAACCAACCCAAAATGAGCCCGAAAATAACTTGAACAAAACTCAAATTAAGTACCTCAGTTGAAAATCGGGCTTGGATTAGGTTATGATTATATGTTTTATAATTTGAATTGGACCTAAGTTGATCCTCTAATCGGTCTAACCCGCCCGAATTATACAGTTAACTTCTGCTTTCTACACACAATTGTTTGTACCACATAGTAGGCGCGAGAATTCAAAATCTTTTAGTTGGGCCCAACTTTGGACAATCTGAGCTAAATATTTTCACACTCCAAATCCATGGAAAGACCGAATTACCACAAGCTCACTTGAGCACAACTGCCCAAAGAAAGGGTAGGTGGACATTAAAGCACTACCCAGCCAGATTCACTAAGAGGCTGTTTGGATGATTTTTAAAATAGGGATTGAATAGGATATATGGAATCCTTCCAAATTTAACTCGGAATTGAAAATTATACTATATCTAATTCGATGTTTAGTAAGTGACATAAATACATATGAGACTTATGGATTAATCACAAATATTTGCTATAGAATTGCCTAAATTCACCCACCCCCACCGAGTCCATGGGTTTGTTGAAACTCTTATACATGAGTTTTACTTATGGCCTATTACATGTTGGGATTCAATTCTCCGGTCTGAAATCTTCAACCAATTCAGAAATAAGGTGATGTATTAGACTATTTTGACAAAATTAACTCTATGAATCCCATCTAAACCCATGAACCAAATATGCCGTAAATTGTTTCAACTCTACCTCCAATTTAATCACAATTGTTCGTATTCTGGCCAGTGGGCATTGATCAAGCTGGTAAAAAGAGAAGTGTGTTGCACTTAGAAAAGCTAACTCCACTTAGGCTAACAAGGCAGAAGTCAGAAGGATGAAAAACTATTTGCTTATATGATAGATTAGTTATGAATTTTTATAAAATTTATCTATTTATTTATTTTAATATTATTAATTAATAATATTATATAACGTGATATCACCATTATAATAAATATTTTATCGTCCGGTCTCGTGCCATTTTAGGGGACCCAGCGGAGTTTACATATGTGTTGACCTTCCAAAAGCCGCGTATGGCCGCCGGCGTAATTTGAAACATGATTTTTGTGGTCAAGCAAAAGTCTCCCTCCCATTCATTGGAAAGCAGCGCCAATTTGTCTGAGTTTAATAAATTATTTGAAGTTTAGGTATTGCCTCAGCTGTGTCTTCTTATTTTGGGAAGGGAAACA